CCGCCCCTGGACGCCTGCAGCGCGGGCCGACGCCGCCCGACCATGATGGCCACGGCTTTGGGCCGCACGCGAGAGCGCGCGTCTTCGAGCCGGGCTCCGCGGAAAAAAACGGAGGAGGAGGAGGAGGACGCCGACGACGAGGAGGAGAAGCAGGCGGCGGAAGAGGAGGAGGAAGAGGAGGAGGAAAAGGGGGAGGAGGGGGAGGACGAAGAGAAAGAGGAGGAGGAGGAGGAGGAAGAGGAGGAGGACGAGGCGGAGGAGGCGCAGCAGCATCATAATCGTCATCATCAGCAGCAGCAGAATCAGCATCATCAGCCTCATCCTCATCATCATCAGCATCATCATCCTCATCCTCACTACCATCATCATCGTCGTCGTCATCATCATAATTGTCATCGCCATCGTCATTATCATCGGCATCAACATCAGCATCATCAACATCAGCAGCATCACCATCATCATGTTCGTCATCATCAGCATCGCCATAACTTATCGTCATCGCCAGCAGCATCATCATCATCATCATCAGCATCATCACCATCATCATCATCATCATCATCATCATCCTCACCATCATCATCATCATCATCATCATCATCATCAGCATCATCATCATCAGCATCGTCATCATCGTTATCTTCAGCATCAGCATCATCGTCATCAGCATCGTCGTCATCAGCATCGTCAACATCATCAGTATCGTCGTCGTCGTCATCAGCATCGTCATCAGCATGATCGTCATCATCAGCGGCATCAGCATCAGCATCAGCATCAGCATCAGCATCAGCATCATCATCGTCGTCGACGTCGTCATCGTCGCCGTCATCGTCATCGTCGTTGTCGTCGCCGTCGTCATCACCGCCACCGTCGCCGTCGTCATAGTCGTCGCTGCCGCCGCCTTCGCCGTCATCGCATCGACGCCGCCGCCGCCGTCGATCGCCACTGTCGTCAGCACGCCCCCCGCGGGGCGCGGCAAGTGGGCGCGCCCCGAGCGCGCGCGCGCGCGGACCTCGTCAGCATCTGGGGCCTGACGTGCTGGTCCTGCGCACCCGCGGCGCGCGGGAACGTCCCTGCCCGCCCCTCGCGCGGCTCGGCCAAACTCGCCGCCGCCGCCGCGGCGGCCGTCGCGGCCGTCGCCATCGCGGGCGACTCCTGCCTCCCTCTCCCCTGCCCCTCCCCTCACCTTCCCCTCCTCCTCCCCCTCCTCCTCCTCCTCCGCCTCCTCCTCCCCCTCCGCCTCCTCCTCCTCCTGGAGCGTGAAGCGTGGGTACCGCATGAATCGCGAAGACCAACGAGCGACAGCGCGGTTCCCAGGCGAATCGCGAGAAACAAACAACAGCAGCAACAACAGCAGCAAAAACAAAGACAACAACAACAACAACAACAACAACAACAACAACAACAACAACAACAACAACAACAACAACAACAACAACAATCACTTTACCCGAACGCTCAGTGTTCTCACCAGTGCCAGGGTTTTCATGCGACGCCAGCCAATACCCCCACTTTGTGGGGGGGCAGTGCAAGCTCTACCAAATATCCACACGACTCTTCGCCACCACCCACACCCAGCTTCCCGCCCTATGACGTTCGGACACTTCACTTCGTGGCCTGCGGACGACCGTGGCTACTACACTGGCGTGGAGTACACACCCACAGAAGTTGTTAAGCCTACGTTCGTACACCCACAGAAGCCCAATGGTTTTTGGAGATTTCGGCGTGCGCGCGCGAAGAAAAAACGAATGTGTCCCGCATGGTATTATTTGACAGGGATGATGGCCCTGGCAGGTGCGCAACCGTTGTCGCAGAAGTTCGAAAAAGTTGCTCGCAAAAGCCCGTTTGACAGAAATGTTTAAAAAGTGTTGGGTTTCCTACGAATCCGCAAGAGCGCGCGGGATGAGATTTTGACATTTTTTTGTTGAAAAACCATTGGTTTTTTGATGTTTTTATGTTAAAATCGCTCCGAACACTAAGCTTTTGGAAGGATTTCGTCTTGCGCGCGCGAATGTCCACTTTACCTTATTTTTTGCAAGGGATTCTTGAAATTTGATTATATTAGAACAAGAAATGTCATTTTATAGTGTTTTTTGCAAGGGAAAACGGATTACAACAAAACAACCGGATCTGGACCCCATCCACTTTTCTGAAGCTTTCGCGAAAAAATGATGAAAATGTAGCTGCGGCCTAGGCGCGGCGGGGGGGCCGTGCACCAGGGGTCCCAACAATAATTATTCTTTAGAATTAATAATGTTCAACAACAACGACAACGACAACGACAACGACAACGACAACGACAACGACAACGACAACGACAACGACAACGACAACGACAACGACAACGACAACGACAACGACAACAACGACGACAACAACAACAGCAGCAGCAGTAGCAACAACAACAACAATCATGTCAAAACTGTGCGCTCTTACTGTTCGCGTGCCACTCAACACGTATATCCCGAACCCTCGGTACCAGCCCTCCTCGTTTTCGATCGTACCCCCTGTGGGGATATATCTTCCATACCTGCCGCATGTACTTGGTGCGGCCCCTCTAACAAGGGAAGAGAGGCCAGATGGAAGGGGAGAAGGAGAAGGATGGGCCAGGAGATTAGGAGGGGGGCTAAGGAGCAGGAAGTACGTGGCAGAAACAGACGGGCCCATCGGGCAGGCTAGACCCTAACAGGCAGATCGGGAAGGGAGCCAAGCGGCCAGGTCGAGAAGGCGTGTTGCTGAAGCGTGAGTACTGCATGAATCGCGAGGACGTCTCGAGCGAGAGCGTCATTCCTGTGTCAAAGGCGCGGCGTTTGAGTAAATTACGAAGAAATCCCACGCAAGAGCGCGTGTCCTGCATGAACTGTGAGAAAGACCCGAGCGAGAGCGCGGTTTTGAATAAATTGTCAGGGGGTATCAAACTGAAGCCGTTATAACTCGGGGACAAGGGTCCGGTTTGGTGACCCCCCGCTTTCCCTTATAAAAAATCCGGTGCGAGCCCGGGGAGAAGCATTTTAATTAAAAACCAATCATTCTTCAAAAGTGAGAACTCAACGACGAAGACGACGATGACAAACAAACAAACACAACACAACACAACATAACAACAACAGCATCAACAATAACAACAACCAGTTTAAGAATGCTCTCTCATATCTGGCTGGGTGCCACTCAGCACGTATATCCCAAACCCTCGATACTCGCCCTCTTCGTCTTCGATCGTACCCCCTTAGGGGTACTATGTTTAACAGAAAGAATAGGTTTGTGAAGAATGAGCGCGCACAAGGCGCACAAGAGGGTTCGTGCAGACCGTCCTTGGCCGTTTCGGGCCGTCTCAAAACGCTCCGAGGGCCCTCGAGGCGCTTCCTGGATGCGACGTTGTGCCGTCTGGAGTCTGGGAGCTGTTTTGGCCGAGGGCGGCTGCGCAGCCTCCTTGGGGGCAGTTCTGATGTTTCCTGAAGCCTTTTGGGACGGCGTCGAGGATAGTCAGGAATGTCTCACAAAGCTCTGCGGGGCCTCCTGGGCCTCCCTGGGAGCGAGCTGGGGACTCCTCGGGGTTTCTCGGGGGCCCCTGGGAGCCGCTGGGGGCCTCTCGGGGGCCTCCACGGTCAGAAAGGCCGAAATGTTCATCAGCGTTCGCCCTCGAAGTTTTCTGCCGGAGATGCTCTGACCCGCGGCGGTCAAGCCGCTGCCGCCCCCATCGCAACTCTGACCACAGAAGTGCTCTGCCCCACGGTGGCCGGGCCTCTTTCGCCCGAGACAGCCCCGCAACTCCGGCCTCAGAGATGCGATGCCCCACGGTGATCCGGCCACTTTCGCCCGAGACAGCCTCGCCACTGACCTCAGAGATGCTCTGCCCCAAGGTGGTCAGGCTACTCTGGCCTGAGACATCCTCGCAAGCCTGGGCTCCGAGATGCCCTGGGTTGAGATGGTCGCGACACTTTCGCTTGAGAAATCCCGATACTCTGACCTCGGGAATGCCTGACCACGAGACGCCCTGAGCTGAATTGGTCAGGTTACTTTCGCCTCGGACATCCTTGCAGACCTGACCTCGGAGATCGCCCGAACCATCCGTGCAAGTCTGGCTCCCGAGGCCCATCCTTCGACCCCCCCACCTGCGCCTCGCCGATCGTGCTGGAACCAGGAAAGGCCGACGAGAAGTGCGAACGCGGACAACGGGCGCCGCCGGCGCGGGCGCGGCGGTCTGATGTCCGGAGCCGCCGCCGCCGCCGCCGTCGTCGTTGTCGTCGCCGTCTTCGTCGCCGTTTTCGTCGCCGTCTTCGACGACGACGACGACGACGACGACGACGACGCGCGCGCGGAACCCCCCCCTGCTGACCTCCTCCTGCTTCTCCTCCTCCTCCTGCCGGCCGCGCGCCACCGCTGCAAGGGTGACCTCCCAGGGTCCCCGGCTGGGCCTGGGCCGGCCAGGCGGTCCGCGCAAGGTCCGCGCAAGGCCCGCGCAAGAGGCCGCGCAAGTGGTTCCATCGACCAGCCCCTGCGCTCGCAGTCGAGGGAGCGTCGCCGGAACCTCTTGCGCGACCTCTCGCGCAGATCTCGCGCGGACCTCGCGCGCGCCCCCGGGCCCGCCCAGGCCCGCAGCCGCGCCCCTGAAGATCGACCTCGAGGCCTGCGAGCTAGCGCTTCAATCCCCGGCGCCCCCCCAAAATCGGCGAGCCGCGGCAACGCCCCCCATCTTCTTTCCCCATGGCCGAGCGGTGAAAGAAAGGAGGAGGAGGAGGAGGAGGAGGAGGTCTGTTTTTTATCGACGGCGACAGCGTTAAGACAATGACCAACATGCACGCGGCGCAAAACTAAGAGGTCGACTTCTGCCGAACCGCTTTCACTTCTCGCCGGCGGGGGGCATCGGCGTGCGGGGTTTTGAATGGTTCACTGGGCCTGCAAAGACGGCGTGGTCGAGGGCGCGCCAGCGCCAGAGCTCGGGCCACTACAAGCTGGGGCCCGCCGCGACCGCTGGCCAGGCGCTGGGCGCTGGGCGCGGCAGCATGGAACGCCGGCGCAGGGAGCAGCTTCGCGCCCGAGCTGTTTTTTTTGCCGAGATCTGCGGCCACGCCTGCGGGCCGAAATGGCGCAGAGCAGCCCGCCGCTGCTCAGGAGCCCCGCCTCGCATCGAGCGAGCCATGTGCCCCTTCAGCCGAAAGGGGTGGAAGGCGCACTCGGCCATGTGGCATCCGTCCAGCATGCTCTTCGAACATCCGCACGCCCGCGTGAGCGCCTCTTGCTACGACTTGGCCAGCGGTTTCGCCGTGCTGCCCGCGGCCGTCTCCCGAGGCAGGGCGGCCTGCTGGGCCGCCCTCTGGTCAACCCAGGCTTCGCGGGCCTCGGAGTGGGCCGTCGCCACCCAAGGGGCGCTACCCACGGCTGCGTCGGCTTCCGCGCCGCCCTTGGCCTTCTGGGACGACTCCATCGCAGCTGCGAGCGTGTCCATCATGAACGCAGCGCCCGTGGCCCACGCCCCCTGGGAACGAGTGTACTCGAGCGCGTCGGGCTGCTTTTGCAGCTTCCACCAGGTGCCCAAGGCTGGCCGCCTTGTAGTCGTCTTCCGTGGCGAAGCCGCTCATGAGCCACGTTGCAACAGCCGCAGCCCGGGCGGTCGCGCATCCATTTCACCGTTGTGGCGAGCGCCATGAGCACGGTCACATCGGTAGCGGTGCCCATCTCGAGGGAAAAAGTCAGCCTTGCCCCCGATTTCGCGACCAGCCATGCACTTTCTGCAATCCGGGGCGCGTAGCCTCCGAGGCCCTCGGCCTCCAAGAATGCGTTCAACAGCTCGGCCATCCCGAATTTCTCACGATAGGCTGGCGGGCACGGCAAGAAGCCGGAGGGGCGCTCGAAGGTTCGAGCCACTGCAGCAACCGGCGATCCCCATCCGTCCCCCTCCATCCCCATCGGCATCCCACTCCTCCCATTCCTCGTCGTCCTCCTCCTCCACTCCCCGCCCGTGCTCCCTCCCAGGAGCACGGCAGACCAGCGCGGCAGACGAATCTCTCATGCCGCCAGGGTCTGGCTGTCGGCCCTGGGGCAACAAACACATTCGAACATTTCGGAAATGTTGTGGTCCGTTTTGCCTCAGGCTGCCTGAATTCCGAAATGCCTGAGCTGAGGTGGCCAGGCCACTTTCGCCTGAGACATGTTCACAACTTTAGGCTCGACGTGCCCCTGAGCAGTGGTCGACAATGACTTACGCCCCAGACATCCTCTGAATTCTGAGTTCAGAGATCCTCTGGTCAGCTCGTTTTCGCCCAAGACATCCTCGCAGCTCTGACGGAGGCGGAGGAGGGCTGAAGGGCGGCCCGTCCGGGCCGTCGGGGGAGCCTCGGGAGCCCTTCAGGGGGGATGCCGTCGCAGATTTGCCCCGCTCCCCCCAGAGCGAAGCCGGGCCGAAAGAAATCGACAGACGTCGGCAAAGGCATCGAACGGGCAGGAGTCGGATCGGGCAACCTCGATCATACATTACATCGAAATATGTCCCTGGAGTCGGTTCCAATCGGCAGCCGCGGACATCGATTCGAATGACCCCTGGAATAAACAAGAGGATGATGAGGACGAGGAAAGCAGGACAGATAGGAAAAATCCTCGAAACTGTGAAGTTGCAAGGATGTCTCGGGCGACACTCCCACCATCATCATTGTCTCCTCCCGCATCTCCTCCACCTGCTCGTCCTCTTGTTATTTTTCATTCTTTATCTGTTCTAAACAGACGATCGCGCATGCCAAGCCGACGCCAGACGCCAGCACAAGACACCGCCCAAGCGCACACAAGGCAACCAGCACAAGGCTCCGCACAAGGCTTCCGAGCATACATATATATAATATATATATATATATATATATATATATATATTATATATATATAGAGAGAGAGCGTGATCCACCGCCGTTTTACTGTGGAAAATTGCCAACCTTTTCCTCCGGAACCCGGGGGTCCCCCCCCCCCTCCGAAAATCCCCCCCCCCTGCTGGACCCCCCCCCCCCCCCCCTTCCCCCGGCAAAACCCCCCCCCTCCCCTAACCCCCCCCCCCTCCCCCTCCGAAAACCGGGGGGGGTCACTACCGGTTCGAACCCCTCCCCCCCCCCCCCTCCGGATCCGGAAAACCGAGGAAAACCGGGGGGGTCACTACCGGTTGGACCCCCCCCCCCCCCCCCCCCCTACTCACCGCCAGCAAACGACTCCTGGTCCCCACCACCGTCCGCATCGCATCCCCCACTGGTGCTCCCAGCACCACTGTCCTCACCACCAGTCCCCACTGGTTCCACCACCGCCCCTAATGTCCCCACCAGTGCCCCCACCACTGTCGCACTGTCCCCGCTGTCCCCAGAACTGTTCCCACCACGGTTCCACTCTCCCCACTGTCTCCACGGCCCCAACCACTGCCCGACTATCCCCACTGTCCCCACTGTCCCACTGACTCCTCCGCTGTCCCACTGAGCTGTCCCACTGTTCCCACCACTGTCCCCACTGTCCCCACCACTGTCCCCACTGTACCTCTGTCCCATTGTCCCACCGCCGTCCTCGCCACCGCCTTCACCACTGTCCCCACCACCATTGTACCCTCCACTGTCCCACTGTTTCCACCTCATTCCCATTGTCCCCACACCACTGTCCCCACCACCACCGTCACCACCACTGTCCACTGTCCCCCCCTGTTCCCACCATTGTCCCCACCACTGTCCCCACCACTACCGTCCCCACTACTGTCCCACTCCCCACTGTTCCCACCACTGTTCCCACCACGGTTCCACTCTCCCCACTGTCTCCACGAACCCAACCACTGCCTATCCCCACTGTCCCCACTGTCCCACTGACTCCTCCGCTGTCCCACTGAGCTGTCCCACTGTTCCCACCACTGTCCCCACTGTCCCCACCACTGTCCCCACTGTACCTCTGTCCCATTGTCCCACCGCCGTCCTCGCCACCGCCTTTACCACTGTCCCCACCACCATTGTACCCTCCACTATCCCACTGTTTCCACCTCATTCCCACTGTCCCACCACCACTGTCCACCACCACCACCACTGTCCACTGTCCCCCCTGTTCCCACCATTGTCCCCACCACTGTCCCCACCACTGCCGTCCCCACCACTGTCCCACTGTCCCACTGTCCCCACCACTGTCCCGCTGTCCCCTCGCCACTGTCCCCACCAACACCGTCCCCACCACTGTCCGCACCCCCACTCGGTTTTCGAGGGGGGGGGGGGGGGGGGTTCGAACCGGTAGTGACCCCCCCCCTTTTCATGATGAGGGGGGGGGAGGGGTTCGAACCGGTAGTGACCCCCCCCGGTTTTCCGGAGGGGGGGGGGGGGAGGGGTTCGAACCGGTAGTGACCCCCCCCCCCGGTTTTCCGCCAGCAGCGGTAGAACACGCTCTTTCATATATTACCTGCAACGTGCATTTCGTGCAGCCCCCAAGGCAGGGGAGGAGAGAACGGATGGAAGGAAGGGACAGGGGGCAGGCGGGTTGCTGAAGCGTACGTTCTGCATGAAACGCGAGGAAGTCTCGAGCAATAGCGCGATTCCCAAATGAATCGATAGGAAATCCACAGCGAGAGCTTGATTCCTGAGCGTCGAGGGCACGGCGTTTGAATAAATTGCGAGGAGGTCCCACGCGAAAGCGCGATCCCTGCATAAATTGTGAGGGAGTCCTGCACGAGAGCGCGATTTGGGAATACATTGTGAGGACGTATAAGGCGTGAGCCGTTGTTGTCGTAAACCGGCGGCCAGGGGCATAATTTGGTGACCCCACACTTCCCCTGATTCAAAAAAGGGTGCGAGCCCTGGGAGGAGCACTTGAACCTGAAGAACCAAATTGTCACCAGGCAGGGTGGGAATCATCAATAACTTTTTTTGAAATGAGACTTCGACAACGAGAACAACAGCTACAACATCATCATCATCGTCATGAACAACAAGCATTTTAACACTACTCTCTCATATCTGATCGCGTGCCATTGAACACGTATATCCCAAACCCTCGATACTCGCTCTCTTCGTCTTCGATCGTAATCCCTTAGGGAGATATCTTTCTTACCTGCAACGTGTATTTCGTGCAGCCCCTAAGGCAGGGGAAGAGAGAACGGATGGAAGGAAAGGACAAGGGGCAGGCGGGTTGCTGAAGAGCGCGTTCTGCATGAATTGCGAGGAAGTCTCGAACAGCAGCGCGATTCCCAAGTAAATCGTTAGGGAAATCTACAGCGACAGCATGATTCCTGAGTGTCGAGGGCGCGGCGTCTGAATAAATTGCGAGGACGTCCCACGCGAGAGCGCGATTTCTGAATAATTTGTGCAGAGGTATTAAGCGGGAGCCGCTCTAATAGTAGTTCGGGGCCCAACAAACCACTCTAGTAACCTCCCATTTTCCCTTGTAAGTAACAGGGTGCGAGCCCCAGAGAGGAGAAGCACTTCAATTGAAAAACACCACTTACTGAAGGGGGGATCAGCAATATATATTCTTTACAAATGAAAACTCATCCTCATCATCACCACCACCACCAGCACTATGATCATCAGAATCAGCCTCGTCATTATCATCGTCATCATTGTCATCGTCATCATCATCGTCATCGTCCTTGTCGTTATCGTGCTCGTCTTCGTCATCATCACCAGCACCATCACCGACATCGTACTCGTCATCATCATCGTCTCTGCCGCCGCCGCTGTCGTCGGCGGGGTCACCGTCATGGCTCCCACTTGCTCGTGAGCTTGACCCTTCGACGATGAGGGCCCAGAGCTGGCGAGGACGGCGGCGACACTGGCAGTGACGGCGCTGGTGACCGTGGCGATGGCAACAGCGACGATGGGCTCTGCTCCCTGGCCGACGGCGCAGACCACCGAGACCACACCGGGCAAGTCATGACCCGAGGCATGCACGCGGCCCACAGAGGGCCAGGGGACGTTTTCAAACAGACAGAGGCGCCATCAGGTCTGGGGAGATACCGTGGCCCCCGCCGTGATGTCCACCCACCCCCCTAATTGGTCATCACCGCCCCCCCCCTCCTCCTTCCCCTCCTCCTCCTCCTCCTCCGCCTCCTCCTCCTCCTCCTCCCTCCTTCTCCTCCTCCTCCTCCTCCTCCTCCCTCCTCCTCCTCCCTCCTCCTTCCTTCCTTCTTCTCCTCCTCCTCCTCCTCCTCCTCCTCCTCCCCTCCTCCTCCTCCTCCTCCTCCTCCTCCTCTCCTCCTCCTCCTCCTCCTCCTCCTCCTCCCTCCTCCTCCTCCTCCTCCTCCTCCTCCTCCTCCTCTTGGCCGCCCCCGTGCCTGTGAACTCGGCTGCGCCCGCCGGGCTTGCCCCCCCCCCCCAGACGGGAGAAGCGCGGCGGAGGGCCAGGAAGTCCTCGCCCTGCATCGCGGGGGCGAAGAAGTTCCTGCGGGGGAGGAGGAGGAGGACGAGGAGGAGGAGGAGGAGGAGGAGGAGGGGGAAGAGGAGAGGAGGGGGAGGAGGCGGAGGAGGCGGAGGAGAAGGAGGAGGCGGAGGAGGAGGCGGAGGAGGAGGTGGTGGAGGAGGAGGAGGAAGAATGAAGAAGAGGAGGAGGAGGAGGAGGAGGAGGAGGAGGAGGCGGAGGCGGAGGAGGCGGAGGAGAAGGAGGAGGCGGAGGAGGAGGCGGAGGAGGAGGCGGAGGAGGAGGGGGAGGAGGAGGC